TGAACACACCACAATTACAGCAACAACATGTACAGCTGCAACAACATCAACATCAACAACTATTGCGGCAACAATTTCTACAACAGCAGCAGCAGCAGCAGCAACAACTACAGCGTCCGCAACAGTTCTACGGCGCAAATTACTTTATGCAACAGCCAAAGCCGCAAGCGCACATGCTAAGGGCGCCAACCAACAACTATCACAGCTATCATCAACCGCTGAATTACAAAAACAAGCAACACTACAACAACAATAACATTTATGCAACCGCAACAACCGATGAAGGCGGCGATGGTGATGTAAGGGATGGCCATGGTGACGATGACGACGGCGGCGACGACGAAGACGACATTGACACTGACGATGATGTAGCATTGTTTTTCTCCAGTCGCCCCACATTGAGCGCTTCCACACCGTCGTCCTCCTTCTCCGCATTTTCGCCACCCACAAGTACTGCCTATCACAGCGCTAATGACTATGAGGATGCCGTGGATGATGAGGACCAGCAATTCGGTTACAATAGCAACAGCAACACAAAATACAAAAGCAACTACTTCCTAGGCGGCGGCGGTATTGGCATTGATGGTGTTGATGCTGACGATGCAAATGAAGGTGTAAATCCGGTTAGTTATCAGCATTCGACGACGGCCTATGGAGCATACGCGGCCAGTGCATCGACACCAGCCACAGTGACACATCTCAAATTACGTCCATATCGACAGTTGCAACAACAACAGCAGCACAAGCATAAGCAGCCGTTCGGCTTTTCAGGTCATCAACAATCTACGCATCACCCGAACCCCCCCTACCACCATCAACAGCAGCAGCTCATCACAACAGCACAACCAATTAACGTCGTTGGTCCCACGGCAAGTGACTTTAATGAACATCACCCGGCGCCACCGCCACCGGTAGCTATGCAGCAGCAGCATCACAAATACCCGGTGTCACCAAGGTACAAGAAACGCAAAAACCGCATCAAAGGGAAGCCAAATCGAAATCGCATTCCGGCGCAATAATTGCTTTTGCTTCGATGAGCGCCTAGCTGACCGAAAAGCCGCCCGCCCGCCTGCCAACGGCTCAGCTGCTGCACTTGACCGGTTGCATAACTCTGGCTAAGCAATGTTCCACTTTCCGCCTGCCCGCCTCCCCGGCTCACCCTTCTCAATCGAGTTCCATGTTTCCGCTAATCCGATCTCTTGGGAATCTTGCATCGTTTTCGAGTACTAACTGTTGTTATTGCTGTTGTGCAAGAGTAATTGCAAATACTTGTGCAATAGTTCCCATGTCACCTAGTAGCAGCCTGCAATTGTATATAGAATTTATCTATCCATGTAAGTGTGTTTGAGAATTAGAAGAGGCAGCACCAGCAGCACAGATTTGAAATTGGTTTGGGTATAGCAGCTATAAAATCAGGTTAAGTGGCTTTACGAGCAGTCAGTAAGTAATCACATTTACCGTTAAGTTAAATAAGTTGTCCTAGACTCTCACACGGGCACACACANCTTTATCGATTACAAAATCGATAGTAACAACCATGAAAATATCGATAACAAAAGCGATACAGATATCGATAACAAATTCGATAAAAATATCGATAGTAAAATCGACAACAAAATCGATGAAAATGTCGATAAAAATAACGATAACATAATCGATAAAAATATAGGTAATGAAATCGATAACAAAATCGATAAAAATATCGATGACAAAATCGAAAAAATATCGATAACAATATCTATCAAAAAATATCGATAAAAAAATATCGATAACAAAATCGATAAAAAAATATCGATAACAAATTCGATAAAAACATCGACAGCAAAATTGATAATATGGATAAAAAAAATATCGATAACAGAATCGTTAAAAATATCGGTAACAAGATCGATAAAAATATCGGTAATAAAATCGATAACAAAATCGATAAAAATACAGGTAATAAAATCGATAACAAAATCGATAAAAATATCGGTAATCAAATCGATAACAAAATCGATAAAAATATCGATAACAAAATCGAAAAAAAAAAATATCGATAACAAAATTGATAAAAACATCGGTAATAAAATCGATAAAAATGTCGATAAGAAATTCGTTAAAATATCGATAAAAACCCCGATAAAAATATCGATTATAATATCGATAAGTTTTGAGAAAGCCGAACATCTCTAAAATCTCGAAACAGTTCCCAGATTGAGTCTCTTGGTCTATCTATATCCTTTTCTCTATAAATACCTTTCTTTTAATCGTTCTTCCTCTATGTTCAGCTTTACTTTCATCGGCATCCTCATCCTCATGTTTTCTTTGTTTTTACTTTTATGTTTATCATTTTCGTCATCTACATATTCCCAATCACCTTCGCCCTTATATAAGTAAGTGTTTAGATTTACCTTGGTCTTCATTTTTGCCTTTATTTTTACGCAACTTTGTATTTGTTTTTGTTTTTGTTTTTACCTTTGCCTTTATCCTTTTCTATATCTATGTACGTACCCACATTTACTTTCATTCTTGTATTGGTAATTCAAAGTGCTATTCTTTAACGTTTTATTAGTAAGTTTTTGTTAAATTAATACCGTATACATACACTCAAGCACTTGTTTCAGCTTCAACCATTTCCGTTACACCATTTCCGTGTGCAATTTTCGTTGAATTTGCCAATTTACTCCCAACCAACTAACCGCTGCTAAAGAAGTTTCTCTTCAAAAATTCGTAAGCTGTTTGAAAATTGTATACAAGGTTACTTTCATTAATGTTGCATACTTATAGGATGCCTATTTTGTTGAGTTGGTAAAAACACAAAAATGTAAAATATTTTTGAAACGGGTTGCCATCTGTTTAGAAATTAAATATCAATTTTATAACTAGGGATATTACCTTGGATGGGGTAGTGGTGCGACCACCTCCAGGGCCAAGAAAGCCTGTGTGAAAGTGTGTGTCAAAAAAGTCTTGGGCATGTTGCCCCAAGATTAAAAACAGGGAAGGTCATATCCTCTAAGAACATAGTGCAGGTAGGATCCTCGCTCTCGCTAGCTTTGTATCCCAGAAATGACATACTTAGGTACAACTATAGGTTTTGAAAAGAGATTTAAAATAGAGCTAAGCAGTAAAAAGTAAAAGAATCTGGATAGACTTCTCAGGATAGCACCCTGCATTGGTCCACATATGGCTCGAATACTCCAGAGGCAATGGGTGCTGGAATCATTGGGCCCAGGACTAGGATCTCTATCCCTATGAGGAAATATCCCAGCATATTCCAAGCTGAAGTTTACGGCATTTATTTTTGCGCGGAGACTATCATTAATTGCTTGCTGAGAGTAGGTCCCAATAGTATAAAGGAGGAGGAGATTTTTTTGTGGCTTTCCTTAAACTGGAAAAAGCCTTGAAAACTTCGAAAAACTCAAAAGTTTTATTGAAAGGTCAAGATTTGTGTGAAATGAAAAAACCGGTTTGTTCGATAAAAACCCGGTTTATTCAACATTCGAAAAATCAAGATTTAAAAAAGCCGCCTATAGATAACCAAAAAAAACAAAATGGTTGAAATCGATTTGAAAAAACCGAGTCAATCACCCTAGTAAGTCAATTATATTGGATTTCAGTGGACAAACGATATAAGGTCATTTAAAAACTGACCCTAAATATGTATACTAAACAGATTGAAGAACAAATTCATTATTGAACTCGTAACATTTATCAAATTTATTTCGTTGGCAACTCTAACATCGAAATTGACCAGCGTTGTGCGACTAGAGGGGCTACGAAACGCCAGATCATTCGAAAATTTTAAGAGTTTCTTCAGGCACAGAACGCTAAGGCTAGGTTATTTAAGATGGCAATGAGGGATGATATGTCTTCTGATGATCATAAAACCATAATCGGAGCAGATAAATGTGCCACTGGAAATCGTGAACGTGAATTGTTGGCGCA